TTGCCAGACTCTGATTCTGAGAAAGAATTATGCCCTAATGCCCTAAGCTGTTCACTGTGTGAAACGAATTAACTTTTTTTCCTGGGCATCTAGGGATGACACTGATTAAGTACAGCCTTGGAAAACAGTTAAAAAACCTTTCCGTGTTCAGTGGTTTGTTTAAGTGATCTCAGTCAGAAGACTAAATAAGGCTCTGATAGAGTAGGTGGGGAGTGTCTGCGCACATGTATCTGTGTGTGCTTGTTTTATAGACATTGAGGTGGAGGAAAGTTCCTTCCGAAAGACACCAGATCACTCAGATAGTGAGGTCTTTCCTGTGTCCTCTAGGACCATGAGCAGTGGCCCCAATGTCCTCATGTCTTCTCATAGGAAAAGCCAGTGCTAGGCAACTCACCTCCACACTATGAAGCATGTCCCTCTGGACTCTTCATGCCAAAGAGTGCTTTCAGCATCACCTAAGGACTGGGACAACGGTTATGGTGCAATCTGGAAAACAGAAGCAGAAGAAACGAAACTCGGCTCTCCAGCCGAGTTGACCAACTCTGAAGGAGACATGAAAAGAGGCTTTTGATGAACAACCGGGGACCCGACCAAGAGGCCCAATTTCATTTTCAACAAGTCATCAAATACTGTATGAGTCAATTACATAAACACTGGAATTTCCCAACATCTGATTTCAATAGCAGGAGAGCAGGCCAGGTTCACAATGGAGATTTCTCAATAGGCAATGCCGTTTTCCAGGTAATTAAAACTGTTTGTATAGGAGGTAGATTTATCTTCTGAAACCATTTTAGCACGAGTGCCCTCCTGAGTGGTATCAGTTGACACACTGCATAATCTAGAACAGACTAATTGCTGCGTGATTTCTAATTTTTCTGCAGCCATGTAAATGAGCCGAAGTCTGCACAGGTGGAGCCCATTAGAGTGAATGATTTCCCCTCTCATGTTGTTATCTTCATTTGCCGTTGTCTTATCAACTCCGAGTAGGAAATCCGCTGTCATGAAAAGCAGGCGAGGGAACAATGTCTGGCTGGAAAGTCTTGTTTCATTATTTTTTAATTCGTATGGCCTTACCTACTTAATGCAGTTTTCTGATTAGCATGCTAGGAAGCCAGTAATTCCCTTTTATTCAAATAAGGAGGCAGGGCTTTAATTTAAACTTAAAAAAAATCATCTCCATTTCTTATCTGGGAACAAGGATTCATGATTCAATAATACATGAATTTAATAATGCATGCTGGTCGACTTCACAGGTACTAAATAGCAGTACCAGGGAGGGTTAGTGCGCTCTGGAGGTGGGCATCTGAAACTTCCGATCTGATCTGTTTTATCCACAGCCCCTCCCACCAGCTCTTCCCTTATTTCCTTTCTGCAAGGGGGTTCTACCGTTTGCCATATTCCTCTGATGCTGCCAAGAGCCCAAATCGCAGGACGCATCTTCACTTTACGAGCGTGTTTAATAGCTGTTAAGCTGCTGGACTTTAGCCTTTGCAAGAATTCCCAAATTGGACTCCGGGGAGATTTGAAAGGATTTGGAGGAAACGAATGGAGCAAGCAAAGGAAGGAACCGCACTCCCTGCCACTAATTGCTCTCTCCACCGAGGTAGCTGTCTCCTGCCTCGTTTCAGGGAGGCCAGAGTCCACCGTTGGTTTGCAATGTGCGGGGCCACAGACTCTTTTAATAACTCTATTTGTGTTTCGTGCTCACGGACACCTGAACAAGGCACCCTGTGATAACCGGCATTCAGCATTCAGAATTCTTTCCTTTTATTGTTGTGGGATTCTTTCTGCCAATGACTCTCCAGTAGATGGCTCGTCTATTGGATTCTCTTGAGAGTAAAGTGTGTGAAGAAATTCAGGAGTGCAGATGAGTTTTCTGAGGGGTTTGACCCCCTAGAGAGCCGAGTAAATCAGATGTACATTGCTTTACGTCATTCTCGTATTTGTTTTTCCTCTTATTTAATTTAGAAAATTAGATAAAGCTGATCCATTTCATCTTCTTTCATCTAAATATAAAGGGTTGCACTTTTATTATTTTTTTAGAGCAAATTTGGAGGGGCTAGAGAGGTGGCCAAGTAGTTAAGAACACTTACTGCTCTTGCGGAGGACTGGAGTACAATTCTCAGCACTCATGTTGGGAGGTTTTACCTGCAAGCCTAGCTCCAGAGCCCACAATGCCTCTCGCCCTCAGGGGCATCTGCACTCATGTGCACATACCCATATGCGTACATATAATTTAAAATAATAAGAACAAATAATTTAAAAATAAATTGGGAATGTTTGTTTAGGGGAGTTTAAACTGTACACTTGGAATCTTGTCAGCACAAGATCGTAAGCAAAATTGCACTGTAAAATAAAGATGTATCCAACTTTGGAAGGGTTTATCGTCTATTTTTTAAATAATTTTAATAATATGAAATATTTCTTATTAAGTATTAATGGGTACTGTTGGGGAGTCCACACAGAACTGGCTGGCCTTTGTGAGTTCATGAAACCAATGTATAATGTGCACAGTAATGACATGGTACAATTCCATTTGGCTTGCTTCTGGTAAATAAATTCCGGTACCAAGGAATCCTTATTCTTATTGACTGTGTAGCTCCCAGCTGATCTGGCTTCAGCATTTGTAGCCTGTCTCCTGTGACCCAGAGATTTCAATAAACTAGGCAGAGAAAAGCGTGATCCAAGTAATTCTCGGCATTCTTGAAACACAGTCCATCTTCCCTAGAGTTTATGGGTTTGTGAACATGTGTTTGAAGGGAAACTATTTTATGTTTTACTTTTATGTCTGTAATTTACAACCCAAAAGGCTTTCAGGTGAGTTATAATAAACAACTACACATGTATAAGTTCACATTGGGGTAATAATAAGAAGGAACCAGTAAAAGCAATGATTATACCATTAAAATATGACACTGATAATTATAACTAAGCTGGAAGAGTTCTGAGAGTTGAACACAATTCCATGTAAATAGTTAGAAAATACAGTTCAAAGTATAGTTTTTTTTCTTTCTGGTATTTGGCCCATTTCCCTTGCAGGGGTGAGGTAAAAAGGGGGATGGGAGGTGACCACCTAGGTGAGCCCAACCTTTTGATACTATGACAGGACATTGTCATCTATAAAGCTCATGTAGTAATGGACGCACAACACACATCTCATAATGTTTTAAGTTCACAATTTTGTGTTGAGATGAATCCCTAGCTATCAAAGGGCACATGTGGCCCATGGGCCACAGGCTGGATGCACAGGTACCATGCATAAATCAACTCTAATCTGTAACGGCGTCTTCCATGAGAATCTTATAGAAAATCATAGAACAGATCTCACCTTCAAAAGAAAGTTGCTGCTTATATTACCCCCACCTAAGAAGATTATATCCTGAGAATTTTTCCCAGGGGTCAAAATGAGATGTCAGATTCATTAGCCATCACCCTGTCTCGAACACTAATCCAGATTCCTTAGCTACAGAAACGTGCCTTGCGGGTGGTTGCTGAAGTTGCAGTGTTTTTCTTTATATTTAACATTAATCCAGCTCAGTATCACTAGCAAATCCTCTTGAAATATGTACATTGAAGGCCAAGCCAGTATTCTGACATTCCTGGCTGGGAACTATGCCGTTAACACCTTCAATTAATCTCCACGCAAGGTCATTTGGCAGCCCAGATTCAAGACCATATGTTAAGATGTTATTAGTTTTCCTGTAAAGGAGATGTTTGGCCATTTACAACTAGAAACAGATGCCCACCAACAGGATCAGAAGGGAATAGTTGCTTTAGTTACAGCATCTCACTTCTCACCTGTAACGGAGGTGGGGCAGAGAGATCCCTATCTAATCATTGAGCTGGGATTTTCACAATTTTAGGTGTTTATGAAGCCCATTACTACTAGACATGAAAAACAGAAGAAAGAGGAAAGGATAGAGACTCATAAAGGAGGCCAATTTCATTACAAATTCATATCTTAGAAAATTGCCTAATATATTTCCCAGAACATGAGGAAAACAAAAAACAAAACAATGGACTAGGTATCTGGCAGGACCGAATTCCAACATGTTTCCCTAATGTTTTGTATCTAGGTATGTGGCCATGGAAAATCTACCTAAATTCTCTGCTCTTCATTTCTTTATGCCCAAAATGCGGAAGGACAAGGCTGTGAGGTCCCAGGTCCAAAGTGGGGGCATTACCAAATGAGATAATGCATGCAAAATGTATTTTAAAAAGTAAGCCACTTTTAAAATATAAGGTGTGTCTTATTTTTATAACCGAATAATTATAGTTTCTTGAAAATCACATACTTACTTGGGTATATCCCCTTTATAATAGTTAGAACTATTTGCCAAATCCTTTATGATAATTTGTTGAGATCAAAGTCTCTTGATTATATAATTATAAGTCATTTGTCTAGAAGAACCACTACTGGGATTGCTTCTAATGAAGGACAGAATTCTTCTGATGCTACTAAGGGTATGGATGAAAGAGGAAAACCATTCTCAAGCTCTCCATGAGATGGAAAGTGGCTTTCCTCGCCCCCACACCTGGTATTCAGTTTCACTGACAGGGCTTGTTGTACTCTCTTCCAGCCCTTGGAGGATCAGCTCTCAAATGTTAGTTAGGGTATGTCAGAAAGCATTCAAAGCAATCCCATCAGATTCTTACATCTATCTCCAGTAGGTCTGGAGTGGGCCCCAAGGTTCCAATTCCTAACAGGCCCCCAAGATGATGGGCTTGGTTGTTCTGGGACCATGCTTTTAGATCAGTGGCTTCAACCTTTCTAACGCTGCAACCCTTTAATACAGTTCCTCATGTTATGTGACCCCAACCATCAAATTATTTTGTTGATACTTTATAACTGTAACTTTGGCACTTTTGTGCATTGTAATGTAAATATCTGTTAGGCAGGATATCTGATATGTGACCCCTTCAACAGGGTCATGACCCACAGGTTGAGAACTGCTGTTTTAGACAGTTATTTTGGAAAACATCAGAAGAGACCAAAAGTTCCGAATATTTATTTTAATGAGGACATATTTGAGGATATAGAAAAGATGATTGTCACTGTACATTGGATACATATATTATTGTGCTGGACCATAGGACTGTATCCATATATTATGTATCAGGTTTTTTTTTTTTTAAGCAAAAAGATAACACTTCCCATTATTCCCTCCTGCTGGGTGAGAATGAGGTTGGCAGCCTTGATGGTCAGGTGTTTCTGATTCCAAAGTTTCTAGAGTTATCTCAGGGCTCTTCCCCATCTCCACGATGCTGGATACAATTGTTTTTTTTGGTTTTACGAGACAGGGTTTCTCTGTGTTGTTTTGGAGGCTGTCGGTCCAGCCCGGCCTCGAACTCACAGAGATCCGCCTGCCTCTGCCTCCCGAGTGCTGGGATTAAAGGCGTGCGCCACAACCTCCCGGCACAACTTCATTTTTACAGATTGCGTTAACTGCTCTCCTGCATGGGACTTTATTTCATAAAACTAGTTCTGTGCCTACCCCAAATAAGTGAAAAGCAAGCTGTTAAATGGGATTCCCAAGATTTTCCTTCCAGCTCTAATGTTCTACAACTGTCTGGTTCTCAGTGGCCCCAAACGGCCTCAAATCTCTTGGCAGTCTGGTATGGGGCAGACCCTACTAAATACTGTAGGCATGTCAAAGCCCACAGCATTCCTCCGCCTCAAGAGTACATGGAGAAGGTTTCAGAATCCTGTGCGACCCCATACTCAACGTTGTGCGCCATTTCCATAACCGGAACACGAATGACTAGTTGCTGACCCAGGCGACCGGACTGGCTTGTATCCAGGCGTCAGGAAAGGGTTGTGCTTGTCCGTTTTGTGTAGACTAATCCAGCCTCTCCCCCTGGCACTTTGAAGTTAATTAAGCATTTGCTGCCTTGGGGGGGGGTCTCTGTGCACTTTCTTCTCATTACACTTGTCCTAAGGAGCGAAACAACGATTCCTTTGGAACCATCGGTTGGTTCCGTAGACCCACAGGAATCCACAGTGCGCGCAGGTGAATGAGCCTGAAGGAGAATGGGGGAAGGAGGCAAGCAGGCCGACCTCAGGTGTCATCTGGAACACAGACGAGGTAGGCCATCTGCAACCCTCACAGCTCTTCTTTGAAAAATTGCTGTCCTGTCAATATTGGACCCTCATCGAATAACCGACAATATGGCTGTTAACGGTATCATTGCTCATCAGCTCCTGGTGCTGAGAGCTCTGCAAATACAAGGTGTCGTTTTCCTAAGACGTGTCCTCGCCTGCTACCTAAGTTTGTCTCCACGATGCCCGATGTAGACTTCTCCTCCAGAAACAGAAACTGAGGTTCACAGTGAGGAAACATTCTTCCTGTGGCATCTCAGTTGCCAGTGTTTAATTTGCATCAGGGGACTCTGGCCTTGAAGATCGGCCAGTGGAAATGACGAAGCAGTTTGCAAACTGCCTTCCAGGCCTTCCCTCTCTTTTAAGAATATGGCGTCTCCTTCACTCCTGCTGTCCCGATTCGTGCGTGAAGACCGGTGGTCAAACATACTTTGCAAATTCCCCCCCTCAGATAGGCTTCTTGGATCTCTGGCCTAATTTCTTTCGGACTAGAGCCCCAAAGTCCTCGGTCAGTGCCACACTGCCGTAGCCTCCCCGGGTGCCCGGGTAAGTCTGGCTGAACCTGGTCCGAGCAAAGAGGAGTTCGCTGCTGAGCAGAGATGCAGTTTCTCCTCAGCCCTGGAACTCAGGAGCAGGAATCAATTAGTGTTTAGGCCAGGAAAACAGATCTCCTGGGTTGCTGAGGCAGGATTTGCTTCTGTAGCGGCTAAGAAAAGGAGCCCGAGAGTGAACTGCTCTGCACATGGAGATTGCAGGGTCTGAGGGGTAGAAAATGATTCCTACCGACCAAGGCTGGGATGCTTAGTGGCAGGCCTCACCGATGCAGAGCGTCATTTCGGATACTGGGTGTTCTTCCTAGGAGTTTAAGACGATGGAAGAGAAAATGCAAAAAAGGATCCATTTGATTGTTGGGGGTGTTGAAAAATACAGAGGTCTGTCCATCTCTGTTCTCAAAGCAGCTTCTGTTCCACCTGGGAAGCAAAAAGGGAAACGGATGTAGGACGCCTGGAGCCGTGGGGGGCCCCGAAGCGTGGGGCTGTGTCTTAAAACTGAAATTAGCATGAGTCACATTAGCAGTCGCATTAGCTCTGTTAATATTATGAAGGAACCCACGACAAACCGGCAAGGGCATGAGATTGACAAATGCCCTCCTCACCCATCACGGACCATGCTGGTGTACCGACATGTTCTGCCACGTGCCCTGGAGACAGATGGCACACTCCCAGCAGCAGAAAACTCTTGGGCCATTTCCACAAGATTTGCTGCAAAAATGTGGGTTGCAGTGAGCATTCTGACCTCGCTCGATCGGCACAAGACACCACACCACTCTAAACTGTAGCCCGGTTCCCAGGCTGGAAGCAAAAGTTAAAATTATTTTCAAGTGTGGAGCGTATTGTACTACATTGAAGGCCAGGCAGCTCTTTAAACAATTAAAAATGATCAAAGATAGCAATGAAAAAGAGTCAAATAGCCCCTTATCAGCAAACACTAAAACAGCTCTAAAACACAGCATTCAATGAAAAACACCTGGCGCATGTATGTGGCAGCCTACTGTTTACATTTTCAGGAATATTACACCAGAAGCTGCTACAGTGATTACCTAGAGGAGAGACGCTGGAGGACAGATGCAGACAGAGGACCAAGGAGAGGCGCTGCAGGACAGACGCGGACAGAGGACCATCAGCTTTCACCGTGTGTTCTTCTAGGCCTTGAGTATTTTGCTGTGTGTGCTTGCTGACTTCCACAAGTTTGAAATAAATGGCCCTCATCTGCTCAGGTAGAAAAGTATCCTGGGAAAGAAGCAAGAAGGACATTTATAAGGAATAGATGTTCACCCAATCACATGTTTAGTTATCTAGAACAAGACAAAAGACAGTCAGAGTGAAATAATGAGTTTAACAGTGTAAGTCTCATGGCATGAAGACGCACACATCTTTGAAGACACAGGTGTGGGGTGATTCTAAAGGGATGGTGTAAAAGCACAAGTATGGCGTAAACTGGAAGGCAGCCAGCAATTACCCAATTCTACCCCAGTCCTAGGGTCACTGCTGGTGAGCAACGGTTCCACAGTCTTCCTGAGTCTTAACGTCAGTGGCAGATGTGGGTAGGAGCTGTGTTGGTGTCTAACTCCTGTTAGCTGGTCACGGTCCCCACAATCCTCCACCGGGGGATGAAAGAAATGGTTCCCTTTTCAAACCAGAGGCATGCTGCCCACCAGAGAGCCTGAGAAAAACCACTATCCTCCCTGTTTGTCTTAGTAACACATTCTACCTTTTCTATCATACAACTGTTGAGGCAGGACAGTGTGTGTGTGTGTGTGTGTGTGTGTGTGTGTGTGTGTGCATGCGTGCATGTGCGTGTGTGTGTGTGCGTGTGGTCACATTGTGCCTATTAGTTTCAGGAAAACCCTACCAGAAAAATCAGCATCAAAGGATGGTGAGGATATGAGCATTCAGGATCAAAGATAAAAAGATCTCATTTTTCTGGCAATCACAGCAAATATCTAACTTGCATAAGTGAAGCCAATTACTGTATTATTGCCTCCTTTGCACTGTGCACAGTAGGGATGTCGCTGCATAATGGTTTGCATGTAGAGTTAATCACTTTGATGCATTTCTGACTGATCCCAGCAAATTATGTTTTGGTTCCACTATATTAAACACAAGAGCCGGGGATTATCATTAATAAATCTAAGGCACAGCATGCATAAATCTTGAATAAATCAAATATCAATTACATAGGCAGTATCTGCTGACATCTGCTTTCGTCAAATAATATATTTGAAATAGGTGTTATTCCAATTTGTTGAAGTCAAAGGGATCTTCATTCAGGGATCACAGACCCCGGACCCCAAACAGGGATGCTGTTGAGCTTTGCTGGAGGCCGTTTAGTGGGCTCGGTTTTAATCGGGGAGACTTTGCTAAGACAGCTGCCTTGAGACCAGAAGGGAAACTGTCTTGCGGCGGCAAAGGTTTTCTGGGGGTGGGGGTGGGGGGTCTTTTTATTCTAACTATTCTTAAAGTGAAGTGGGAACCGGTGAGGAAGGAAAGAAGTCCCTCAGATCGCAGACATGAAGTGACCGTCACAGCACCCAAGGCAAACTTGATTCCAGTTTGAGTAGAGGGTCTTTTCAACGGGATGGCTGGAGGAAAGGGGCGGAGAGGTGGTTGGTACCAGGGACTGGCTTAGGAGGTCTAAGTATGGAGGCCGAGAGAGGACACTGGACACCAGGCAGCGAGTAAAACTCTAGCTCAGAAATACCAAGTCCTCTCAATCCCCCACAAGCTCCTTGATGAGCAAGATGTTAGTGTTGGTTCCTGTCCTCTGCAACCTGAGTCACGTGAAGCTAAAGAGCACATGCACAGCTGCCCCGGCACAAACGTCTGTGGGATTTCAGTCTGGATCCATTTAATTGTGCGGCTGAGACTCGTGTGTGTTGTGGGTGGCGGGCTGGGTTGTGTGTACGTAAACTCGAGAAAAGAAGGGGCTGAAAGTGTGACTTTGTGCCGTAGCAGTTGCTTAGCATGCCTGAGGGCCCTGGGTTCTCTTCCTGCTCTGCCCCCTCCCCTCAAGAGAAAGACGTAAATATATGTGCCGAGGAGGACAGGGGATGGAAAAGAACACTGACAATTCGTGTTCATTCTCTTGAAAGCACCAGTGTCTCTGATTTATGCACTGGGAAGGAGGGAGTGACGTCTACACCCCTTGCTTTGGTGCAGACTTTCACCAACAGGTCAGGCCCAGTCTCTGCAGTGTGGTTACTTAGGACGTGGCCCTTCAAAGAACTTTCTAGGGTTAAAGTGATGCTCAGGGAGGGTGGACCTGGGTTAGGAAACATTCTCTCAGGCACTGTCTCATAATGAGAGGTAGAAAACAATTGGGTCATCTTTACTCCCAAGGCAAAGCAGGAGCGGGGACCAGAAAATTAATAAGCTGATCACTTTGCAGCCATCCTGAGGCCTCTACCCAGGGTGGAAACGGTGCTTCAGGGGGCGGGTGGAGTAGTTCACACACTGCTTGTCCTGACCTGAGTAGGCAAGCCTTGCAAAGAACTCAGTAGAACATTTCTTTAATCGCACTTGGCATCCAGCAAAAGCAAGGGAAGCAGAACACTGGCCCCACGCCTGAGCCGTCTAGGAGTGTCTCGGGTTTACGCTCTCAGAGCAGAGGTCGGAGAGCGCCGAGGAGCCTGTGACTGACTCTAGGAAGCATGTGAGAAGGCTGAGTGGAAACAGCTCTGATTTCCTTATGCCACATCTCCCCTGCATACCAAGCAAACCCACATCAGCTCTGCCTGGGCCCCTGACCACACGTTTCCCCCATCCATGCCCTGCCTTCTCTATCAGAACCTGCAGGGGATATTGAGAACACGCCATGTCACAGATAAGTAAAACCTGCTGTGATGTCACTGATGAAATGGGCACGCAGCTTCTGAGCTACAAACACATACACTATAACTATGTATTGGTACAAACAGATTTTACCTCGTTCATTCACAATTTTGTGATCATTTTAAGTCTGATGTTTGGGTTACTTCACTTGGTATCTGGAAGGGCTTCAGGGCTTCAGGAATCATTTGGCTTCTTCATCAGCTGCACTAAGGACCATAGGAACATCTTTGAGGATGGTCGGTTAGTGGTGGACTCAAGTGAGGAAGAAAGAAACATTTTGATGATATAAAAGAAACCTTGAAAAGTAAAATTGAGTTTGGATGTTTTTGAATACAGCTTGTGACTACTGATTGAGTCATCATGGTACTGTCATTGGTAGAGTCATCTTTAGATACACATGTGTGAATTAAAACAAAAATCTCAGCATTCAGAAGGTAGAGGCAGGGGGATGACTGTAAGTATGAGGCCATCCAGTGTGTTCTAGGTCAGCCAAGGCTACATAAAAATGAGACCCTGTCTCAAAAACAATAACGACAGCAAAGGGAATCTAAAAATGAAAGCACATGCTTTCAAAATCAGTTGATATTCAAAAGTATCCCCTGACACAATGCGCTGAAAGTGAAAAGATCAGTAATGGATAAGATTATTTTATTCACTCACTCACTCACTCACTCACTCACTCACTCACTCACTCACTCATCCACCCATAGTGCAGTGGTTGTTTTTTTTCCATGCCAAGGACTGAGGACGTAGGAGTTAGAAAGTTGGATACCCACATACAAATAGGCATGCCTGTGTGAAATCAGCAGGGTGACACAAAGCCCACATGGTTCCGTACTTAGATGACAGGCAGAACTAGAGCCTGCAGAGTGTGACAAGCTGGAGTCTCATCCTCTACTTCTGGCTCTGCTAACTGCAGGTGACCTTTTCACCTTGGTTTATAGAAATCGCAAATGCTGGGTTGGTCTATACAGTTCCAGAATGTCAGTGACCTGGAAACCTTTTCTTAAGAGATCTATTGATTCTCACAAGAGCCTGGAATTATCAGTTAGTTTGAACAGAGGCATGAAGCCACTGCCACAATTAAGGCGGCACTGTTGGGAACGCTCCTTTGGTTGTTTACATCTGTGTCTTGTTACAAGAGTCTCCATGTCACTAAATGTTGTTATGTCTCTATGCAACACTGAGTATTTGTCTGTTTTGGAAAGGTCAGAGGGATGGCTGTCCTGAAAGCCCCTTTGATCCTCTATCACCACATCCAATCAGTCTGCGAGGACCCAGGAGTGGAGAGGGTGAGGCTCTGCTTCTGTGTGCATGTATATATCATTTACCAAATATCCCTGCGTGCACGTCTGCATTTTACCATCATTTCCTACCCATTTTATTCTGAGATATTACTGGCACATGTTCAGACATCCTGATAGTAAGAACCTTGCTGTTTCAATATAGTCTGCACCAAAATGCGCACACAGAGGCTTGGTATTTGCAATGTCCATTTCCCCAATGCTTTTTGTTTTAGCATATAACCGCAGCCTCCGTGAGCCTTCAACACAGCAGGGTCATTTAGGAGTACCTGAGTGGGCCTGTTTGTGAGCCCACAGCCCTGCTGGGATGCGCAGAGCAAGAGGTTTTGCATTTCCCTTCATCCTTTTCTCTCACCTACTCTATGCTTGATCTCTGTGGGATTTTGTCTGTTTCACAGGAAGTAATTTGATGTGTGGTTTTCTAAGAAATATTTAGGTTAGAAATCCTACCCACATTCTAACATCTCATGAAATCAATATGGACATTTCCTGGTCTCAGCTTTATTATGTAAACTACGACACTAGCCCCCCCTTCTGTATTCTGCCTGACTCTAACTGATGAGCCCCCCGGATGCTCTGTTTAGAGGATCAGTTGAGAATGCTGACATTATTGGCTGTTTTAGTCTATTCTATCCCTTGGGAAGAAAGTGGTTCATAATTCTTGACTATTTTCAAATATGGCTAGTTTCTTCTGGGACCTATGTGAGCTAAATGACTTTCTAACTGTCCAGCTAAAGCCAGGGTGCTATGAATTTGGCAAGGGTCTTGGTGCATCATTTTGTTCTATGACATTGCCATCAATTAAGAGATAGAATCCAAATAAATGGCACCTGTCCCAGTTAATCCAACAGTAAATGCTATCCATATGTCCACCACACCACTGGCTCACTGAACAGCGTTATTTATTGAAGTATTCCTGAAAAGAGAAAAAAAAAACATATGGACTGGAGTAGCAGACATTCTCAAGGTGGGGTGTTCCTGTGACTGTGAGAGAGTGGTTTGACCAAACGCAGTGACTCTAGGCTTTCATTACCAACTGCTACACAATATGGTCACCATTTAGTAGACGTTCTTCACACTAATGACTAAGAATGATGAACTATGAACAAAACCCACGCCGCACTTAACTTATTCATTCCAGGAGTGCTTCCAAATTCCGAGCCAGAGGACATCTGCAGCAGAATCACACATGGACACGCGTCTGAAAAACTCGCATTCCCCAGGCAGGCCCTGCTTTAGAGCATCCAGACTAGCATTTCTAGAATGAAGCAGGCATCTGAAGTCTTAAATAATTCATCACTTACTCCATGGTAATCATGAAAACCTGAGAAATCCTCTTTTTTCTTTTAATTTCACAGGTATCAATCTTTTATATTTATTTTCTTTCCTTTTCAGGGTTTTTTGCTTTTAATTTTCATTTATAATTTTCAATCTTTTTATTGAAAACTAGGTTGTTTTTAAAAATCTCCTCACATAATATAGCTTGATTTTGCCTCCCAGTTCCTCCCCAACTCCCTTCCCACCCAGATCCACCCCGTTTCTGTCTTTCATTAGAAAACAAATAGTTTTCTAAGGGATGATAATGAAATAAACATAAATGAACACTTCAGAATAGGACAAAACAAACAGAAGGAAAAGAGCTCAAGAAAAGGCATAAGAAACAGATATAGATGCAGAGGCTTCCTTGTTTTCACACTCAGGAATCCCACAGGCACATTAATATATATGCAAAGAACTGGTAGAGTAAAAAGAAAAGAAGAAAAATATATAGATAATAAAATTAAATTAAAATTAAAAATAAGATAACAATTTTGTAAAAACAAACAAAACAAAACAAAAATGAGAAGCGCTGGCATGGCATTAGAAGACAAGGAACCTCCAAAGATACTGTTGAGCTCATTTTCTGTTGGCCATCTCCTGCTGGGCATACAGCCCATCATTAAGAGTAGTTTGTTTCCCATGGGGAAAACTCAGTTTTCATAAGCAAGTGGTTATGAATTGGACATTGCTTCGGGTTAGGGATGGGGCGTGTGTTCACTTGTGCTGTTAGCTCAAGGTCCCCATCTGGTGCAGGCTCTACGTGCGCTGCCTCAGTCTCTGTGATTTCACGTGTGCCGGCCCTGCTGTGTCTAGAACGTCTGTTTTCTTCGGTGCCCGCCATCTCCTCTGGCTCCCACACTGTTTACTCTTACTCCTCTTCTGAGGGCTTCCTAAATTCTGAGCGGAGGGATTTGAAGGAGCCGTCCTGTTTGGGGTGGAGTGTTCCAAGGTCTCACTCTCCACATAATGTCTGTCTGCGGCTCTCCGAATTTATTCCCAAATACGGTAGGAGGACGCTTCTCTGATGATGGCCGAGCCTGGCATCGATCTGCCTCCCTGGCCACAGTCAAGCAGCTCTTAATTATCAGTGATGCAATGCACAGTGGCACGGTAAGAAAAGGGAGGTTGTACAGTGGCACTTTCGCATGCCTTCGGTATTCCAAGTCTCACTGTTACACAGGCTCCATCAGCATCAACTGGGCCTTAGAAAATAACCAGAAGTCTAGGCCCTAAGTCAGAACAATTGAATTTCATGTGCTCAGGAGGCCTGTGTGCACATTAAATCCAAACTTTGAGACACACTAAGTGAAGTACAAACACTGTTGTCGTGTTTACTCTTTAGCTAGTGACCTCATGTGCCCCTCTGATGGTTCTCCAAACCTGAAGTGAATGATTCCTTTATAACAAACACTGACAGGCAAACGTGCTTGCCTATAGAAGAAAGGGAGCTAAGATACCTTCTGTTCCTCAGCTGGGTTCCTTACTGTGATTGGTAGAGAGAAACCCAAACTATTAGCAGAGTAAACTGCTGGGCTACAGCTACACAGCAACTCAGTGCAGGAAGATGCTGGACTGTGGAGCCATTTCGAGAGAGGTGGAATTCTCTGAAAGATATCAAGTTCCCATCCCTGGAGGAGCCCAACCCAAGTCCGTGATCATTGCCATTGAATGCCTTGATAACCGCGTATGACTATGGAACTGGGGAGAAACTAGATGCCTTTTGTATTAGAGATTACTTTACCTTGTACTCACTGAAGCCTTATATTACAAATTTTAGGTGTATGTACACATATACATGGTTCTTATGCTAATACACTGTTTATTTCTACATTCCCATAAGATTGTTTATATCAATAAATTCAATGACAAGAAACCAACTTTTGTCAGATTAGGGGTTCAAAGACAGAGTAGACTCTCCAACGCTCATCTGGGCTAAAAAAGAAAAGTTAGAATCCTTTTTGGTGACATTTATAGATTATAGATTAACAATTATGAGGTAAATACTTAAGTCAGAGATAGCCAGTAAGAAACAAGCAAACGGCCAACAGCTTCATAGTTAATATAGAGTCCTGTGTGTTCATTTGGGACTGATGGGGCTCTGGAGCCAGGCTGGCAGGAAGACTTCCCTCTACACTCTAGGAGCAGCGGCTGGTCCCTAGGACATGCTGCATGAGAGCTGGCTTTCAGTATCACCAGCCTCATCGTTGCTCAGCAGCACTGTGCTTACTCTACCTGTGTGGAACACAGAGGTAAATAGGACAGTTCCTGGTTTCTGTGAAGGAGCTCAGTGAGTTCAAGAAAGCTCCCGGTCAACAGTGTAAGAGGAGACACCTCTGCGGTGGGCAAAGTGGCTGCCAGCTCCAACAGGAAGGCTCTGAAGACAGCTGCCACGGAGGCGAGATGCTGAGCTGGTTTGAAGATGGAAAGGACATCTTTGAGGTGGAGAATGGGAAAGGAAGTTGGGCCAGAAAATGAGAACTCTGGCTTGGGAACCACAAGGCTGCTTTCATTGGCCTTGGTCCCTTCTAGCCTGGCCCAGGCATAGGCTGTGGGGTCACAGTCATCTATCTCAACAGTCCTTGTGAGCTCTCCTAGGGGTCATGCTGTGACAATACAGAACTCAGAGAGCACCATTCCCTTGGGAGGGTGGTGCAGCTGGGGGAGTGGGGGAGGGATGACTGCTCCCCTGAGGAAGTGGACAGGGCATTGCTTTGGGGATGGGGTGGCCCTTTCCAAAACACAAATGGAAAGAAACAAATTCTTTTCCTTTTTCTTATATCTGCCCACACTCGTATCATTACCCATGAGCCAGTGGCTTATTCTGAACCTACTTATAGCCAGCTTCCTCCTAAATATTCACAGTGCTCTGAAAATGGGGCCAAAGGACCATTTCTATGGGTTCCGTCCAGCGACTCCTAGGAACTCACTGGCTTATCTGCAGTATGCTCCCATTCATGGCTCTACTTCAAGGCTCACTGGTAGCGTGTTGCTTCAGGAGGCAATGTGGGGGAGTAACTGGTAGCTCCACTCCACTGCACGCTGTGGATTTTATATCCAAATCTGACATGCGCGGGTTAGGGTGAGAAATGAGAACTTTGGATCATAGACTAAGTGGAATGGTGTCTGTTGTTGGAGGAGGGGGAGGAGGGAGCGGGAACTGGTGCTCGCCAAAGACCATCCACAGCTGTGAGGATGAGCAACCAAAGCCTACACTGCAGCCAGGAAGGAAGCTCACCCGAACCAGCTCGTCCACAGGCTCAACTGCAGGCCCCTAGTGTAAGACTCAGCATGGGTGTGGGAAGCGGCAGACTCTTCCCGTCCCAATCCATGTCCACGGCCAGCCGTTGTTCACTTGCTTCCTGATGACAGGACCTTCCTTTGCATTTCGGATTCAATTTTACCAGGTCTAAGCCAGTCCTGAGCTGGGAAGATGGGAGGGGCTGGCTCTAGGAGGCAGGCTGGGTGACGCAGCGTGCTGTTTCTCATAGTTACAGCAAGCAGCTACAGGAGGCTCCCCGACTCCACCTTGCCCTATAAGCTAAGCCTCCTGTGGCACCGTGCGGATGCTATGGGGATCCAGGCTACTTACCGAATCACTTTTACAAGCACACCGAAGCCAGGCGGAGGATCTGCTTGGCCCAGAATTCCCTTCCCTTTGGCATGTTTCTCGGGCAAAACTGTTGAGTGGCTACGAGAGAGAGGTGTGGGAGGGAGAGAGGGATCTGAAGAGTCGTGCCAGCCACTGACAGAGCATGCCCAGCACAGTGTGCACACCCTGGTTCATAACCACTGTTGCAAAATGTTTCTTCAGTACCTGCTGGCGCCACTTCTCACCACTCTTGGAGTTTGACTGTTTTTCTTGATGTTTCCCCATTCTGTAACATAACAAAGCTGAAAGGTTCTCCGACACCCATACCCTGGAAAAAGTTCCAACCCAAAGCATAAAACATAATGAGTGTGCCCAGTGCCACTCACCACTGTAGCGTTTCTACACCTAGGCAGGAGAGCCGCCTGGTTTTCAGCCCCCAGGAGTCAGCGTGGGGGAAGGCAGTCTCCCAGCTGCTGCTTTTCTGCCGCTTTGCTTGAGTGTAGGAGAGAAAAATGCTTGTGTTTGGCGAATGCTGTAAACTGAATGGAGCTGTTAGCTGTCTCTTCAACACACTTGCCAGTTTCATTGCCTGCTCTAGGATGTCTTTGTCATCATTATACAGGGATCAAAGATAATAGACTATTTGAAACCCTAATTCAATTAAAACCTAATCCTCAGATGTCAATGGCAGCGTGTTGTGCAGAAGGTTACAATGTAGGCAATTTCTTTTGAGCATATCATTAAAAGAACAAAGCAAGAATAAGAAATGGCTCAACTATTTTCCAAAGCAAGATGCTTGTTATTGTCTTGGGAACTTTTGCCACTATGATAAAACTTAGGCTATATTTCAGTATGTATGGGGAGGGAAATCACATAAACTTATTTCTACACTTAAACCCATTTACAGTGATTGGTTTTGTCTTGTGTAAGGGAATTGAGTAAACAAGACTCTTTTAAGAAGGAATACTTTCAATAACCAAGGCACCAAGCCAGATGTTCCTGGTTACAAAGTACCCGAAGGACATAAAAAAAAGTCTGTCAAAGTTGGCACTCTGAAGAAGCCTAAGTGAGCACTGAACTGTTCTACAAGGACAAGAAGCAGAGTTCAGATATCTTTATGGCTTGAGCCCTGTTGATTGGCTGCCTCACCTGCCCATCAGAAGCACTGACCTTTCTGTACCTGTAGTTATTTGTATAGAACTACACAGGTCGGAGACTGAGTAATAGGCCCCAGCATTTCCATGTTGTGGCTGCAGCTGTGGTCCAACACTGCTGCTGAGGACTTGCATACAAAAGAGAGTTTTTCTCCCTTCTTTCTTTTCATTCTCCAAATAGCCTTGTAAGATTCCTTTTGAACTGGCAACGCAGCACCCACTTGAAAGCAACCAGACCTCTGGGCACTTTAATAGGAGGACCCAGTCTCTGGGGGAAATGCCTACTGGAAGTCAGAGAACACCGCACTCTCTCGGGTAGAGCTCATCGGAAGCAGGAGCTCTGACTCCCCCCCACTCCTGTGTAAAGCCAGAGGGGTGTGTAATTAGCAGCACGAGTGGACCCCAGAGAAAGTCCCATAGGAGC